AAAAAAAAAAGAAAAGAAAGGGACAGGCCAAAGAAGTCACCAGCAAAAGGAGACAAGAGCTTCAGGAACACAGAGGGACCCTCATGGCCAGTGTGTGGGGACTATGCAGGGTGATACAGGGCAAAGGGGCCCTGTGCAGGGGTCATTTATATTTAGAACCAAAAATTGGGAACACCAAGGACTCCTGGAGGTGGCTGTCCCTGGAGACTGTGAAGTCACCGAGCCTGAGGATGTGTGCCCATCACTTAGGTCCAGGAAAAGAGCTTACACTCAGTGCCTGGGAGCCAGTATGCCAGACGAAAGCCAGGAAGGGAAGGAGCCAAAGCAGGGAGGCAGGGGTCTGTAGCCCAGGGACAATGACTTTGTGAGCCAGTCATCTGTCTCCAGGAACTTGGGAAAGATATGAGCACCATGGCTTTTTTTCAGAGGCATTGCAGCTGTCCCCAAGCTTTGATATACAGCATATCACTGACAGCTGTGAAGGTGATATCCTTGTCTCTATACACATATGAGGCAACTGTTGTCAAGAAAGGACAAGGGAGTTGCCCCCAAGCACGCAGTAAGTGGCAGAATGTGCACTGCACCCACTTGCGGAGACCTGACCGTGCTCTAGGCGTTCTGTGCCAGACGCTGGGGATACCATAAGCAAAGCCCAGACTCTGACCTCAAGGAACCTATGGTTTCAACAGGAGACAGATTAACTGAACTCAGATGAGCACTGTGCTGGTAAATGTTCAATGATGGGCTCCCTGAGGGAATAAAGGCTCTGGTTTGTAGTATTTGCTGATTTCAACAGTATTAATACTCCCATCACAGCAAGTTCAAGCTACCAGTATGACATCACTAAACAGGAAGTTGGGAGGATCAGCTCTCACTAGCTGGTGGGAGCAGACTCTAACACCCTCCTGACCACAGGCTCCAACTCCAAGCTGAGGTGGACGCAAGAGGGATCACACACCAGGGAGAGGAGGGAAAAGCCAGAAAGAACAAAGTGTCCTCAGGGGACAGCTGGGGACGGCACCTCCTCCCACAGGCTAGGAGGCAGCTAAAGCCAGCTGTCCTCTAGTTCTTATGGAGAATCTTCCATCCCTTTCTTTCTTCATTCAGTATTTGTTGATTAATCACATACTATGTGCCAGACAGTCTACTAAGCGCTTGGGATATACCAGGGAACAAAACCAAGACCCCTACCAGAGCAGCGAAAAGGATCAAGCGTGTGCATTTGGATGGGAGGAATGACCCTCAGGTTTAGACTTTATTATTTATTTATTTATTTATTTTTGAGACAAGAGTCTCACTATGTCCCCCTGGGTAGAGTGCTGTGGCGTCACAGCTCACAGAAACCTCAAACTCTTGGGCTTAAGCGATTCTCTTGCCTCAGCCTCCCAAGTAGCTGGGACTATAGGCACCCACCACAATGCCTGGCTATTTTTTGGTTGTAGTTGTCGTCGTTTGGCAAGCCCGGGCTGGATTCAAACCCACCAGCTTCAGTGTATGTGGCTGGCACTCTGGCCAATGAGCTATAGGTGTGGAGCCTCAGGTTTAGATTTTAAATAAGGTGGTCAGAGTAAGCCTCATAGAAAAAGTGACATTTGAGTAAAGACTTAGAGGACGAAAGGTGAGTAGCCCTGCAGCTACGTGAGGGGATATTTTCAGACTACAGAGACAGTCAGCACAAAGGCCCCAAGGACTATGCTTAGAATCCCCTGGAACTACAAGTCCTGACGGTGTGTGATTCAGGACAGTGGAAGATGGAACCAAAGGGAAGTGGGGGTGGGGGGGCAGGGGCCAGACCCCACGGAGCTTTATTCTGTCTCTTTCCTTCTCCCCTTGATACATTCACCCTTCCCGTGGCTAGATGGAGGGGCAGGAAGTTCTCAATGTTAGTGCACTTAAGAACCACTCCAGGTTCTAATCCAAATTCCTGGGCCCTGGTCCAAAAGACTCTGACTGAGTGGAGCTTGGAAATCTGAATTTTTTTTACCTGCTCTGTGGGAGCCAGAACACTGATGAAAAGGGCTGAGTTTTGGTGTGAGTGCAAGGACCTAGCAATCCCCTGGAGATGCTAAGACACCCTTGTAAATGAGAGCAACAGTTGGTGTTGTCTGTTTGGCTCTTATATTGACAATTATGACCCCATATTTCGAACCTCCATAGCTGAACCACTGGTCTTGGCCTGGGTTTACCTGTAGCCCACACATAGGGAATTCTTCCATTCCTTTGGTCCACCCCAGGCCCCCAGGTTGGGGCTCTGCCCAGGTGGATGTGGGGCCAAGGCTCTAACCAGGTCTTTGCCATGCTGGACTTATCCCTTGTCTGCTTCTCCCTGGGGGACCTCACAGCTAGGGCAGGACGGATTCCAGGGCCCTCCCATCCTATGCCCACCTACTGGACCACAGGCTTCATGGCTTAGCCCAGCCAACTGTGCCTACAGGTGCCAATACCCCTCATCGGGCCAGAGAACATCGTGGATGGAGACCAGACGCACATCCTGGGGCTCATCTGGGTCATCATTCTGCGTTTCCAGATTTCCCACATCTCCTTGGACAGGGTATGTCCCAGACCCACTGTGTAGTACCCCAGCCCAGCCCTGGCCTGGCCTCAGGACCCTGGGGACAGAGCAGATCCACTTGGCTTTTGTGATTCCCCACCACAAATTCTTAGAAACCACAAAATCAATATTCATTTTTCAACCACAGATAAAGAACCCAGAATGTTGGTGATACTATAGAATGCTAAAGTGAGAATTAGAGCCCTGGGCTTCAAACCTATTCACAAGGCACAGAGTCAGGATGCCTGCCCAGGTACTGTCCCCACCCCTGTGCTTGGCTCTCTGCTTGAGCCTCTGTAACTCCCACTGCACAGCAGTGTACCACAAGGGGAAATGAAATGTTATGGGGGTGCTCCCAGCTCTGGAGGTTTATAAGGTCCCCAACATCATGAAGACCAAAGAGACAGTATTTCCCTCATGACCCCATCTTCCTCTATTCTACTTTTTTCCCACAACTGGATCAGAAAGAATACAAAGTCTTTATATTTATTAATTGTTAGTTTTGTGGATTCCAAAAATCCCACCTAAAACTCAACTCCAGTAGGTTAGGAAAGCCACCCTAGAGATAAAAACCCTAATAAAAAAGAAGCCACAAATTTGGCACAAATCTGAGAGGACCCTGGAAACTTATAGTGTGACTGTGAGCCCCAGGGGAGCAGGAACCTTGCCTGCCTGTGTCCCCAGGGCTGAGTATCTGTCAGGGCCTGAAGGGATGGAAGAATTTATAGCTCTGCCCTTTCACGAAGCTGAATGCACCTCACCAGGCCCCAAAGCCTGCTGCAGGTGCACCCTACAAGCATCCTCTTGAGAGAAGGAGGTGCTTTTCACCCCTAAGCTGCCACCATCCTCCCTGCTGGCTGTGCTATCCACAGCCCCCTTGGGCCCTGCTCCCTGATGACTCAGAGTGTTTAGCCTAGGCTGGCCCTGCTCCCTCACCTGGCCTCCCTGCTCTGCTCAGGTGCAGCCCGCTCTGGTTGGGCTTCTGAGGAACTGGTGGAAAAAGGGCGTGCACAGGAGAGAACTATGGGAGGGGAAAACAAAGGGGATAATGAGAGAGAAAAGGGGGCTCTGGGGTGAGGACGACAGATTGGGAACACAGTCGGTGAAGGGAGGAAGGGAGGGAAAGAAGCCCAGAACGGAAGAGAGATGGGATGGGGGCAGGCAGAAGCCAGGAGTGGTGGACCATGGACACCTTCAACAGGGGGGGATGTGCAGGGTGACAGGGGAAGGAAACCACTGCAGCTGAGTCACTGCCCAGCCTGAAGTGCCCCAGCAGCATTGAACATGGCAGGAGGTGGCCCCCTGGATGTTCCTGGGTCTAGGCCAGCCCTCTGAGCCAGCTAGGGGACCCTGAGCAGCTTCCTTGCCTCTTTTACTGCACCTTGTCCACCATCTATAGGGCATAAATACTAACAGTGCCTACGTCATAGGGCTGTGGGGGACAGAGGGCTCTGGCACATGGGCCCAGGCCCTGGCTCCCAGAAAGCCTGCAGTGATAGGAACCCATCTAATGAGGCCCAACTTCAATCCTACAAGACCAAATGAGAACAATGCCTGGGCCACCAGAAGGGCTCAAAAATGGGAGCGGCTACTGTGTGGTCACTGGCTGTGATTCAAGCCAGCTCCTTTGCAGTCACAGCTTTCGGTTGTCCCACTTCTTTGCAAGGATAGTTGTGCTCTCTGACCGCCAATCCCTGCCCACCACAGATGAAGCTGGGTAAAATCAGATGCTCTGAAGACAGAAGAGTCCAGGCGGGCAGGAGCAGGATCCCCGCCATGCCTGTCTGCCTCTCTGCAGCCTGTGGCTCTGCTGCTCCCCATCCTGTCACCACCTGGTAACCCTGTGCCCTGTCCCACCAGGAGGAGTTTGGGGCCAGTGCAGCCCTGCTATCGGCCAAGGAAGCTCTGCTGGTCTGGTGCCAGCGGAAGACAGCCCGCTACAACAACGTGAACATCATCAACTTCTCCCACAGCTGGAGCAATGGGCTAGGCTTTAACGCCCTCATCCACGCCCACAGGTGTGACCCAGCCCCCGGCCACATGGGAGACTCCGCCCACCGATCCCACTGAGCTCTAGGGGCTGGATCCTCAACCTGCCCAGTCTCCCACAAACCCCTGCCCCTGGGCCCTGATGGAGGAAGGAAGATGGGCACAGTAGAGAGGGCTGGTGGCTGAGTCCCTGACCTAGGTCAGCCTCCCCCTCCCCTAAGAAAAGCCATGGGATTGGTCAAGTGCCTTTGATCGCTGCCTTCACTTTCCTTGCCCCTCAATTCTATGCACAGTCTTTACTCTGGCAAGTAACTGCTCTTTGGAACTTCTCCCCCTACCCACCAGGCTGGCCCCTATGCCAAATTAACCCTCCTCTTTCTCCATCAGAGTTCTAGTCCTTCAGCCAGGGTCTTAGATAATGCTATGTCAGGGGAAACCCAATTCACAGTAAGGTGTGACTGACCAATAGAGGCACCAGTGTGTTTCTAAAATTACTTAAACCAAAGCCATGAATCCCTGTTGGTGAAGACCCCTTCCTGCTCTCTGTGCAGGCCAGACCTGTTGGACTATAGCTCCCTGCATCCGGACCGGCCGCTGCACAACCTCGCCTTTGCTTTCCACATAGCTGAGCAGGAGCTGGGCATTGCCCAGCTGCTGGACCCTGAGGATGTGGCAGCCCCACAGGCAGACGAGCGCTCCATCATGACCTATGTCTCCCTCTACTACCACTGCTTCTCCCGCCTGCACCAGGGCCAGACTCTCCAGAGAAGACTCACTAAGGTGGGTAAAGAAGGGAAGCCACCTGGCCACAGGGGACATGGCACTGAGCAGAAGAGAGGTGAGCCTAGGCCTCACAGTCAGACAAGCCTGGGTTTGAAGCCTGCCCCTGCCACTCACTAGCTGTGCAGCCTTGGCCAAGTCACCTAACTTCTCTGTGCTCTCTTTGTAACACGGGGATGATAATGCCTGGATAATGGAAGGCTGCCGAGTATCCAAGGGAACAATAGTGAAGTGCCCAGCATGGTTTCTGGTGTATAAGGGAAGCCAAGAGAGGAATGTCCCTTCCTGTCCCTGCCCATCCCCTTCTCCTGTCAGTCTGTTAAGCACCTAATGGGATTAAAGGGCTTAGGGACCTGGGAGTCTGCAAGGACAGACACAGAAGAGCCCGTGCAGGGTGAACGCTGCATTGATCCATGTTTTGGGGGGGCTTTCTTACCCTCTGGACACGATGGCAGAGGCTGAGACCTGGGCAGGCTGTTCTCAGGGTTGGTGTCTCAGGCGGCACAGGGGTGGGGGATGACACGGGCCAGGGGCTCTAAGCTGCTTTAGCAGAATGGGGAGCTCAAAGAAGGGAGAAAAGAATAGCAGCATGAAGGCTCTCAGCTCCCAGAGGTGAGTTCAAACAGGGTAAAATAAGAGAAGGCAGGCAGGACAGGCGTGATAACCCCCAGTCACAGAGAGGGAACCACTCAGTGCCTCTGCAGCTGAGGGCAAAAGCTGCAACTCACTCGGTAACCTTGCTTGGCACCCAGCATCCACAAGGGGCATGCTTCCACCCTAGGACCTGCCCAAGATGCCACCCTGACCCTTTCCCATGCCCTCCACCAGATCCTGCTTCAGCTCCAGGAGACAGAGGCATTGCAGACCCAGTATGAGCAGCTGGTGACTGACCTGCTGCACTGGATTGCAGAGAAGCAGGTGCAGCTGGAGGCACAGGCTCTCCCAGACTCACTGCCTGCAGCGCGCCGGCTACTAGCAGCCTTTGCCTCCTTCCGCACCCAGGAGAAGCCACCTCGGCTACAACAGCGAGGGGCCACAGAGGCTCTGCTCTTCCAGCTGCAGACAGCACTGCGAGCTCAGAACCGCAGGCCCTTCCTGCCTCGTGAGGGCCTGGACACAGGGGAGCTGTCCCAGCGCTGGGCAGAGCTGGAGCGGGCAGAGGCCATATGGAGCCAGGCCCTGCAGCAGAAGCTACTGCAGCTGGAGCGGCTGGAAACCCTGGCTCGGCGCTTCCAGCGCAAGGCAGCCCTCCGGGAGAGCTTCCTAAAGGACACAGAGCAGGTGCTAGAGCAGTCTAGAGCCCTGCCAGCCAGCCCAGCCACAGTGGAGGCAGCCATCCAGAGGCTAGGTGTGCTGGAGGCTGGCATCCTGTCCCAGGAGGGACGCTTCCAGGCCCTGGCTGAGATTGCAGACATCCTCCAGCAGGAACGGTACCACAGCTGGGCAGAGGTGGCCTGCAGGTGAGCCTGGACCATGTGAACCATCCTCACAACAATCTTAGGCTTTCCTACCACACCCCCACCTCCACATGTGCCCACTTCTGGCCACAGAAGAGAGGGCTGATTTATGGGTTCCCTCTACAAATAATAATCCATCTCCCAATAATATTTGAAATTTCACCCTCAGTAATTAATTCATCCATTTTGATAAAGTACTGTCCTTTCTAAGTAGCCGCTGACTGATCCATTCACTAAACAAACATTTATATATATGTGTGTATATATATATATATATATTTTTTTTTTTTTTTTTTTTTGCGACAGAGTCTCAAGCTGTCACCCTGGGTAGAGTACTGTGGCGTCACAGCTCACAGCAACCTCAAACTCTTGGGCTTAAGCAATTCTCTTGCCTCAGCCTCCCAAGTAGCCCTCTACAACGCCCAGCTATTTTTTGGTCGTAGTTGTCATTGTTTGGTGGGCCCGGGCTGGATTTGAACCCACCAGCTCTGGTGTATGTGGCTGGCACCCTAGCCGCTTGAACTACAGGTGTCAAGCCTAAACAATCATTTATAGTATCTACTACGTCCCATGCCCTATTCAAGGTGCTGGACATTTAGCACATTTAGTGGAGTACAAACAAAAATCCCTCCCCTCGTGAAGCTTCCACACTATTAAAGAAAACAAACAAAGAAAAATATATAAGAGATAGCGATTTTAAAAAATAATAAAGCAAGATAGGGGAATATAAGTACCAAGGTACCAAGGTGGGGGTGTGTGTGGATTGAGTGGTCAGAGGAGAGTCACTGGGATGTTGACTTTTAAGTAAAGACCAGAGGAAAGAAGGAGGCTGGTCATGCAGACATGGGGGACAGAGTATTCTAGACAGAGGGAATGGCAAGTGCAGTGCCCAAAGGTGTGTGCATGCTATTTTGAAAAACAGTAGAGAACAGTGTTGGACAAAGTGAACAAGTAGCAGGAAATGGGACAGGGAGGTACAGCAATGAGGAGTGGGGGCAGAGGTTCATGCTGGGCTTTGCAGGGTACAGTAAAGACTTGTTTTTTACTCAGAGAAAGATGCGAAATCATTGGAGGGTTAAGCAGAGGAGTGACACAATCTGACTTTTGTTTTATGATGATCACTGGGATGTTATGTTGGCATCAGATGGAGGGGACAAGGTCAGAAGCAGAAAGACTCATTATGAAGCTATGCTGGATTCAGAGGCAGTGGAAGAGAATAGTGAATCTATCCACAGGGATTCTAGATAGATTTTGAAGATAGGACCGAATAGGATTTGCAGACAGATCAGATGGTGTGTGAGAAAGGGAGTTATCAAGATTTTTGTCTGAGCACCTGAAAGGTTGGGGTTTTCATCAGTGGAGATGGGGCTCGTAGGTAGCAGGCCCCTGAAAAAAAGCCCACCTTCTGACTTCTCTGCCTGTGTCCAAGAACAGGACACACTGACCCAACCACCCCATGCCAGGATGTTCCCGGGGCCCCAGTCCAGTGGAGCGGAGACTTCCCTTATTCTCATGTCCTGCAGGCAGGAAGAGATCACCTTGCGCTGGCAGAGGCTCCTTCAGCGCCTACAGGAACAGAGGAAGCAGGTGGCAGGTATGCAAGCTGTGCTGAGCCTACTGCAGGAGGTAGAGGCTGCCTCCAACCAGCTCAAGGAGCTACAGGTGGGCATTGGACCAGCAGGGTGAGGGACTTTCCCCAGCACCTTGGGACTGCAATGACCACTTGTCTCTCTGGCCAGGAGCTGGCCAGCTCCACTTCCTGTGGGCAGCAGCTGGCAGAGACAGTGGAGCTATTGCAAAGGCATGACTTGCTGGAGGCCCAAGTCTCAGCCCATGGGGCCCATGTGAGCCATCTTGTCCAGCAGACGACAGAGCTGGACTTCTCCCTGGGCACCAGTGTGGAGGTGCTGCAAGCCAAGGCCAGGGTTCTGACCCAGCTGCACCAGAGCCTGGTGACTCTTGTCCAAGCCCGGTAAGAGCCCGCCCCAGCTCCTCCATCTTCTCCAGAACTTTTTTTGGTAGAGACAGAGTCTCACTTTATCACCCTCGGTAGAGTGCCATGGCGTCACACAGCTCACAGCAACCTCCAACTCCTGGGCTTAAGCGATTCTCTTCTCTCAGCCTCCCGAGTAGCTGGACTACAGGCGCCCACCAGAACGCCCAGCTATTTTTGTTGTTGTTGTTGACGTTGTTGCAGTTTGGCTGGGGCCGGGTTCGAACCCGTCATGCTCGGTATATGGGGCCGGCACCCTACACACTGAGCCACGGGCGCCGCCCCCTCCAGAACTTTTCTATAATTCAAATTATCTCCTGCCCAGGTGAAAATATGAAAATACTGCAGGCCTGGCAGCTTTCTCCACAGAATCCTTACCCTCAACTTTGTCTTACCTATGGAGCCATACAGGGAAAAGAAAATTCCTAAAGGGAGTGTCTGACCCTGGTGGGGAACCCTCTCCCAATGTCCTGCGACTCCCCAACCCCTCGCTGGCTCTCGCTGGCCCTCAGGCGGGTCCTACTGGAGCAGACGCTGCAGCGGGCAGAGTTCCTGCACAGCTGTGAGGAGGAGGAAGCCTGGCTAAAGGAGCGCACGCAGCAGGTGGAGAATGCCGTCTGGGGCCAAGATCTCAGCCAAATGGCAAATGCCCTGCAGAAACACAAGGTGTCCGCTCCCCTTGAGCCCTGCTGGTCGCCGACCACCTTCCCCGTCCCTCTCGGCCTCCGGGGCCCTCTGGTTTCCTCCCTTCACTGAGCCCCTTGTTGTGCCCCCTTCTAGGCCCTAGAAGCTGAGCTCCATCGCCACCAAGCCGTGTGTGCAGAACTTGTGCGAAGGGGGCGCGACCTCGGTCTTCGCGGGTGCCCGACGCAGCGGGATCTCCGGGAACGCGCCGAGGCGGTGCAGGGCGCAGGGCAGCTGCTCCGGAGCCGAGCGGCGGGGCGGGGCGCGCAGCTGCAGACAGCCCTGCTGGTCCGGCAGGTAGCGGGGCCCAGGTGGTCTGCCGCACGGGCGGGGGCGGGGCCGCAGACTCTCAGCCCCGCCCCTCTTATCCACCCCTCCTCTCGCAACGTACATAGTACTTGGCAGAAGCGGCAGAAGCGACCATGTGGCTGCAAGAGCAGCGGTACTCGATGGAGAGCTCATCCTGCGGGGAAGACCTGGAAGCAGCCGAGGGGCTGCTGCTGCGTCATGTGCGGCTGGAGCGCGCTGTGCGGGCCTTTGCCATCGAACTGCGGCGATTGGACGAGCAGGCGCGGGTGGCCGCGGCCCGGGCGTCGCTCACGGTGAGGACAGGAACCTAGAAAGGATCCAGACTCCAAAACCAAATGTGGGACCATGTGTTTTCTTTACTTGGTGCCTTGCCTCCCATGCCTCCACCGCCGCCAGATCTCACAGAGGGTTAAAATGGCAGGGTCTTTGTGGGCCCTGCCCTTGGTATCCTGGCCTTCGCCTGGGTTTGGGTGCCCCCTGTCCTAAGTGGCATCTCACCTGCTGATTCAGCCCAGAAGTAGTGGGATTCTGTCTGCCTGCATGAAACAAGGTCATTCAAGTAGAGCTCATCTTGGCCCACCTTGTCCTACACAGTTTCAGAGCATTAAGCAGGTTCCTACTGGAATGAATGACCCCTTTACTTTTCACTGCCAAGCAATCCCTAAGCCTGGTTTGAGTCTCTCTTGACTTAACTCTTGTCGGTTTTGGACAGCCTAATCACCACAGCAAACTGCTTTCTAAAGCCCCTTCCTCACTTCATTGAGCCCCCAATTCTTAAAAACACATGGGTGGTGGGCCGTTTGCTCCAGCCCCAGGGAGGGCTCAGAGCCCCTTTTCAACAATCTGTGTCTGTAGCTCAGGATGTGGAAATCAAAGCTCTCAGCCCCTATGCTCACATTAGCTCCTCTACTCTCATCCCTAAGGAAGCTCTGTGTCCTGGACCCTGTCTCTGCCCCCAGCCATGTCCTGTGGACCCTCTGTGATGCAGGTCTCAGGAAGCAGCCTGACAAGGCTTTGGGTGCTTGACAGGAGTCTGCTCTAGATACACTTCCCTCTGCCCACACAGGTGATGTCTGCCGTAAGCCCTCCCAGAGAAAGCCTCAGGAACCCAGGGGACTGGAATGAGGCTTCCTGGAAGATGGCCCTCCCAGTGGAGCCTGACCCTGCCCCTGACTCCAACACCATACTCCAAACACAGGACTGCTTAAGCCAGGACTACGAAGGCCTGAGGGCCTTGGCAGAGGTAATAGTCCTCGTTAAAGAAATGTATTTCAGGCTGGGCACAAGTGGCTCACACCTGTAATCCTAGCACTCTGGGAGGCCAAGGCAGGTGTACTGCTCAAGCTCAGGAGTTTGAGACTAGCCTGAGCAAAATGAGAGCCCATCTCTACTAGCCAGGTACTGTGGTGGGCACCTGTAGTCCCAGCTACTCAGGAGACTGAGGCAAGAGGACCACTTGAGCCCAAGAGTTTGAGGTTGCTGTGAGCTATGACATCACAGCATTCTACCCAAGGTGACAGAGTGAGACTCTGTCTCAAAAAATGAAAAAAAGAAAAGGAAATGTTTTTCAAGCAGGTACCCTGTGCTGAACCTTATGCCATGACCTCAGGGGACAAAGCAGTGACTGACATGCTCCCTGCCCTCGAGGAGCTTTCATCATGGCCTAGGAGATGTCCAAGAAGTCACAGATGGATTTGGTTGTGAGGGGGGCATATCAGAATGGAGCCCAGGTTGGGCTGGGGGTCAGGGAAGACACCTCAGGAGAAAGGACATTTAAGCTGAGAGGTGGCCAATAAGAAGCAGAAAGCAGAACAGCCAGGTCCTGTGCAAAGGCAGGAGGGCAGCCCGGTGGAGGGAGCAAAGGCCCAAGTGCCTGGAGCACAGACAGTGGGGAGCCAGTGGCCAGAGGAGAGCTGGAAAGGCAGGTGGGGTCCAGCCGGGCAGAGCCAAGGCCCGTGAGAGAAGGGTAGATTGTACCTACCAGCAGGCCTGACACTGAGGGGTTGGAGCAGGGCAAGACCAGATGAAGATGAACTCTGCTAGTGGCCTTTACCCTGAGCCTGAACTCTCACCAGCTCCCTCCACTGGGTGCTGAGAAGACTCAGAGTGGACGTGGGGCCCAACATTGGAGCAGAAATGTCCTCTGGCCGGGAATCAGGCTCTGCAGGTGGACTGCCTTGGGCAGGAGTGGTAGGCCTGCTTTGAGGCCCTGACCCTCACCCAGCCCTGAACTGTCTCTCCCAGCTCCGAAAGGCCCAACTGGAGGAGAAGGTGGCCCTGTTTGGCTTCTATAGCTCCTGTGTGGAGCTGCAGTCATGGCTGGAGGAGCAGACAGTGCTGTTCCAAACATTACAGCCCCAGGCTGACAACCTGGAGGTCATGCAGTTCAAATACAAGGTATAGCCCCTGGGAGCTGAGGGGCATATCGGGTGGCCCTTCCTCAACTGACTCCTGCCTCCCTGTCCTTCACTGCTATGCCTCAGTTCTCCATCTTAACAATGGCCCTATCGGGCAGAGGGAGCAGGGAGCTGGCCTGAATCTTGAGGCCCTCCTGGCCCTTTGAGGCCACAGATGGCTATCCTTCCTGAGGCAGGCAGAGTGGACATCCCTGTAGCAGAGAGCACATCTGAGGTCCTTCATAGTCATGAGGGGATTGTGGAAAGCAGAAAAAGCCCCCTCAAAGGCCTGGGTCCTCCTTTTCCCCAGAACTTCCTCAGGGCCCTGGCCATAGGAAAGGGCCACTGGGCTGAGGTCAGCAGCTCTGCTGAGCAACTGAAGCAAAGATGTCCTGGGGACTCCACAAAAATCCAACAGCAACAGGACAAACTGGGCAGGAGGTGAGGAAGGAGCAATGCAAGGCAGTGAGTGGGGCAGGTGGAAGGGCTGGATGTGTCAGACATGAGGAGGAGAAGGGCAGGGGACAGCCAGCCTGGAAACTTCTGTGGTAGGGGGCTCTGACCAAAGCCCCAGGGTGGATGGGGGGGGCATCCCTGCGATGGAGACATCCCTGTGCCCTCTGCCCAGGTGGGGGCAGCTAGAGGCCCTAAAGAAGGAGAAGGCCATGCAGCTGGCACACAGCATAGAAGCATGCAGTTGTCTGCAGGAGTGTGGGCCCACACAGGACCAGCTGCAGGGTTTGGTGCTCCAGCTGGACGCCCTGGAGCTGGGGAGCACTGAGGACACCCACCGCAGCCTGCAACTGGCCCAGCAGAAGATCCTAGCACTGGAGAGGAGGGTCCACTACCTCCAAAGCGTGGCTGTAAAGTAGGGACGGGTTTGACAGTGACAGTGCTCTGGGAGGCAGTGAGGAGAGACAGAGGCACAAGCAGGGAGATGGAATGCGGAAGGGGAAGGAAATTGGGATGGGGAGAGGATGGGCAGGGTGTGCATCAGAAGGGCTCAGGCAAGGGTGGGGGGCAATCAGCACAAGAAGGCACACAGGGAGAAAGGAAGAACCATGTGTTTTCACTGGCCCTAGGTCAAAGGAGGAGTGATACTCAGGGTCACCACCATTTTTCCCAGGGAACATAGGCCTGGGCAGAGGACGTGTGCCTGGGGCACTGGGCCCAGGGAAGTGCACTGGTTGTACCGTGGGCCTTGTCTCCCAGGGTCAAGGACTCGGGCCCCTCAGAGAGCCAGCCACTGCAGAAACAAGTGGAGACGCTGCAGGGGTTGCTGGAGCAAGTACAGAGGCGAGTGGCCCAACAGGCTCGGGTCCAGGCTGAGGCTCAGGCCCAGCAACACTTCCTACAAGAGAGTCGGCAGCTGCTGCTGTGGGCAAAGGGTGTCCAGGCTCAGCTGTACAGCAAGGAGGAGCTGGTGGACGTGGCCTCAGCTCAGAGGCTGCTGGGGGCTCACCAAGACCTGCTGGAGGACATCCATCTGCAGCAGGAAAGGTCAGGACAAAGGGAAGGTCAGAGGGCAGGACAGAGGGCAGGACGGAGTGCAGGACAGACAGCAGGACAGAGGCCAGACAGTGTGCTTTGGGCTGGGCAAGGCCTCAGTGGATGGGGCCTGTAAAGGGCATGACAGAGAGCAGTGAGGTCACCCAAGCTGTGAGGGCTGTGCCCCACCCAAAGGGACACTTCTTCTAATTGTTCAGAGGCTTGTGTGGGCTTGCCGTGGCCCTGAGTGATTTTTCGCTGAGAGCTGTGCTGCCTCAGCACACTTGCCTGGGGATCAGCCACTAGCAGCCCACACTTTTGGGATGTCCAGTGGCGCAGCAGGGAACATGGGAACTCTTGAGTCTGAAGCACTTGAGTCCAAAGCTGGACCTGTTACATACAGTCTTATCCAAGGGCCAGGACACAGCTGTCCCATGGAGCAAGTGAACTAACTGGGCTAACTGGCCTCAGCCCTCCTGCTAGTTTCTGTCACGTCAGAGAAGAGTAAGCCCTGCCAGGGGGAGGGGAAGAAGGCCAGTGAGGAGAGCCAGATGGGGTTTGACCCTTGCCTGTCATCCTGCTCAGAATGCAACAGTTGGAGGCTCAGAGCCAGCCCATGGCATCTGTGGACTCCCCAGAAGCCCTAGAGGTGGTCAGTGCTTGGAGGCTCCTGGGCCAGCAAGGCCGGGAGCTGCAGGCCGCTTGGGAGCAGAGGCAGCAGTGGCTACAGGAGGGGCTGGAGCTGCTGAGATTTGGCCAAGAAGTGGATGGTTTCACTGCCACCTGTGCCAACCATGAGGTCTTCCTGCACCTGGACCACCTTGGGGTATGAAGCCAGGGATATGGAGCTGGCTGTTGCTCTCCCATCCCTGGAGGGAGCACATCCCCTTGGGTCCAGAGGCCAGAGTGAGTGGGAGGCCCCAGGGCAGTGGGCAAGGTGGTGCTGACATTATGTACCCAGGCGTGACCTCAGGTCTCCACATCCCCAGGAGGACGCACAGGAGGCTCAGAACCTGTTGCAGCAGCACCGGGAGTTTGGGCAGCTCCTGGGTATCCTGGGCCCTCGAGCAGAGGGTCTGTGGGTACATGGTGAAAAGCTGGTCCAGAGCCAACACCCCGCTGCACACAAGTGAGTCTGGCCTCATCTGTAGCACCTGCCACCCTGAGGTTGGGTGTTGTGGGGCAGGGGGTACATTCTGAACTGGGGCAGGCCCACTTCCACTCCGCCTGCCCTCCAGGATCAGAGAGCAGCTGCGGGGTGCCCAGGCGCAGTGGACCAGGCTTCAGGAAAGGAGTGGGCAGAGGGGGCAGCAGCTGCTGGCATCCCTCCAGCTCCAGGTGAGGGGCCAGGTGCAGGGGCAGGAGGCCCCTCTAAGAGGGGTGCGTAAAAGTCCATCCTGCAACAATGACCGTGAGACCCCCATGTCAGTTTGCAGCACTTTCCCCACAACCCATCCTGTGAGGCAGTCATCACGGGGCAGGTGTTTCCTGATGAGGAAACAGGCTGTGTCCACACCACACTCAGAGTAGGGCTGGGCCTAAGGTGCAGGCCTCCTGATGAACCCCCACATTCTCCTTCATCCCACTACCCTCCTCCCCAGGTATACAAGGCTGCATCTCAGGATCTTGTGTGGGACATGGGCCCTAGCTGCAGACCTTGCCTCTGTCCAGTCTTTGTTCACCTCCTATAGTGGCACAGAGCTGGGCAGGCCCCAGGCCTCCCAAGGCTTCAGCCTATTTGGAAAGATGTGGCCATATGTGATCTGGATGACCTGACAGGCATTCCTCCTCTTCAGGCGCAGTACCTGTCCCCCTTTACCCCACATAACCTCAACCTGCACCTCTCTTGCACTCCAGAATTGGCTCAGGTCCTGCTTTCCCCATGGGAGTCCCTGAGAGGTAGATCCCTCTCCCTAGAGGTATCCCTTGCCCCTGGACTGAGACATCTGTCTCCCGGTTCTTGGGCAGGAATGGAAGCGGGATGTGTCAGAGCTGATGCTGTGGCTGGAGGGGAAGGGGCTGATGGCAGTGGATGAGCCCTCCCACATGGCTGGCAGCACCCTGCAGAAACTCAGGCGGCACAGAGCAGCTGAGAGTGAACTGATGGCCAGCCGTGGATACATGGAGCACCTGCAGCAGGTGGGACATAGGACAGAGGGTGCAGAGGCTCCTTGGCTTCAAATTCCCAACTCACATCCTGCCACTCATTTTCATGGTCCAAGTTTGCTAAAGGCAGGTTCAGCCTCACTTACCCCAGGGCTAGGATCCCCTGCCGCCTCCTCTGCTTTGCTGGAGTCCCCTTTGCCTTGACATTTTCCCCTGTAGCTCTCCAGGGCGAGTCCCAGAGCCTGCCACCTCCCCCACAACACAGCTCTTCCCACCACATGCAGGCCCACTCTCCTCTATTTGCAGGGGTTAAGGGAAAGCCCTCCTACCTCTGCCCACAGTTTTGGAGCCACATGAACTGCTTAAGTCTAGGCAGCCTGAGGAGGGCAGCTTGTGGTCAGCCACCCCCATCTGCTGCCCGCCGCTGCCACCTGGGCCCAGCCTTCTATAGCTGCTCACAGTATCCACAACTCAGCAAAACTCCCTTTGGGCCTTTGTCTCCACTCCAGGCTGGCAGAGAGCTGCTGAGCAGCAGGCCCCATGGCTGGGAGGACATACAGTCCCAGCTTTGGGGCCTGAGCAGCAAGTGGAAAGAGCTGACCTGCAGGATGGCAGAGTATGGAGACAAGCTCCAGCAGGCGGGACAGCAGGAGCAGCTCCTGAGGCAGCTGCAGGTCCTCTGGAGGGAGGGAGGGCTGAGGTACAAGGAGGGGGCGGATCGAGGCTGGGCTGGGCTGGAAGTAGGCAAGGTGGAAAGGGACCAGGAGGACTCTGGATGTTCTGCCAGCTCTGGAGCAGCCCCATGGAGTCCTGCAGGCTCTCGAGGCCTCTGGCCTATGCCAAGTCGAGCATGGCTTCACATATCAGGAGGCCCACACAATACTGTCTCCCGTATGCAGAGTGTGTGGTTGGCACAGCTTGAGGAAGAAGCATGAGGGGACTGGAAGTTTGGGCTCTGGTGGTTTGGGCTCTCCAGTAGGTCCCATGTGAATCTGATCCTACAAGAAGGCCTGCTATGCATATGTGGACAGTCTAAAGCCACCCTCTACAACCTTCCCCAGGATGCAAAGGAGAAGATGGAGCAGCTCGAGGGTGCCCTGCAGAGCACAGAAACAGGGCAGGACCTGCGCTCGAGCCGGAGCCTGCAGGCACGGCACCGCCAACTGGAAAGCAAGAGCCAGGCACTGGCTGCCCAGCTGGCTACCCTTGTCTCCCAGGCCCGTGGTGTGGGCACTTCCCAGGTCATCCTGGACGAATCCCAGAAGTGCCTCCGGAGGTGGGGCCCTGCCCACACACTTACCTGTTTGTCCCAACTTCACCCCACTGTGTGCTGCTCCTCCTGTGTGAACTTAACAGGCCAGCCTACAGGACCTGGAGGTAGAGTCAGTGTGGGGTAGAGGGGCCAGAGACACTATTAAGCATCCGAAGCAGGACACCCCACAATCTGAAGTCAGGCAGGCCTTGTAGGCAGTGAGGGAAGCTTTCCTTGCATCCTGGCCTTGCTCTTTGTGGTCCCTGGCTGGGCCGAGGAAAGGACCAGAGACCTTTCCTGTCTCTTCTTGCTCCACCCAGGTCCGAGTCCCTGCAGGAACATCTGGCCACCTGGGGCCTGCAGCTGCAGGCCTCGGTTGAGCTGTACCAGTTCTGCCACCTGAGCACCATGGAGCTCAAATGGGTGACTGAGCATATGCCCTGTGGCAGTCCCACCCACTATGTCAAGTTCTTGGGTGATACCAAGAGCCTTCACATCAAGCACAAGGTAATAGCCTCCTTTTCCCTGCCCACCGCTATAGCAGGGTCTCTGACGTACCCTTCCCAGACCTTAGATGCCCTCTGCTACTACCCAGGGTATCCTGGCCACTATGTTCTTCTCTCTGGGTGTCTGAAATTCCCAAAGTTCTGCTCTAGCTCTTCTTGGCCTGGGCTCTTGCCATGATTGGTGCCCAGAGCCACATCTATGGCTCAGCTTCTTCCACCCCCTGGTTAAGGGACTTCCACCGGCAGCAGCCTCATATGCCCCTCTGTGGCAGGGGCTCCAGGCTGAGGTGAGAGCTCACCAGGGCCAGGTGCAGCGGGTACTGGGTTCTGGCCGGAGCCTGGCAGCCTCCGGGCACCCCCAAGCCCAGCGCATCACAGAACAATGCTGCAAGCTGGAGGGCCGCTGGGCAGAGCTGGAGCAGGCATGTGAGGCACAGGCCCGGTGCCTGCAGCAGGCTGTCACCTTCCAGCAGGTAAGCGGCAGAAAGACAGGATCTGGGAAGTGGCCCAAGTTGGGGCAGGCTCCATGAGGGAGGATCTGTGGGACTCTTGGGGAGCTCTATTCCAGGAGCTGGCTGGTCCCCATGAGGGCACAGAAGCCTCTTTGTGCAGGCTGCTGGGGTGCAGAGGCAGGATGTCCTCACTGGGTGATGGAGAGTCCTGTCTGAGGTTGTCAGGGTGAGTTACGCTATTCTTGGCAGTACTTTCTGGATGTCTCAGAGCTGGAGGGCTGGGTGGAGGAGAAGTGGCAGCTGGTCAGCAGTCAGGACTATGGCAGAGATGAGGCATCCACCTTCAGGCTCATTAAGAAGCACCAGGTAGGCTCGGCGCCTGTAGCTCAGCGGCTAGGGTGCCGGCCACATACACTGGGGCTGGTGGGTTCAAACTCAGCCTGGGCCTGCCAAACAACAATGACAACTAAAAAAAAAA